AGTGGTGGGTGGGGGCCCTAAATAGAATAAGGTGGGGGGACCTATTGTCCTCCCCCTGGCCCCCACCTCTGAGCGGTGGGTGGGGGCCCTAAATAAAAAATTGGGAGGGAACCTAATGTCCTCCCCCTTGGCCCTCCCGTGAGCGGTGGGTGGGGGCCCTAAATACCAATTAGGGGGAGACCTATTGTCGGCAGGTGGGGGCCCTAAATAAAAATGTAACCCCCCCACCCAGTTGACTAGGGGTCCCCAAACCCCTAGTCACCCCCCCACCCAAAATAAAAATTAACCCTTCCTACCCCCTCATCCTAAAAATAATGAGGGGGGGGGCTTTAACTAAGTACCTGTAAAAATAAAATAAAACTTACCATTTGATGTTTTCTTTCTTCTAAAACGTTCTATTTTTAGCCTTAAAAAAGGCCAAATAAAAATCCATAATAACCGACGCACTTAAAAAAAAAAAAAAGAAAATGAGCGCAAAAAAAATAAACCATCTTCACCCATGGAATGCTCCACGCAGACTACATATTTTGTATTTATGTCTACATATGTAGATACATATACACATGTTTTTGTACTATTGGACTATTTAATCGTATGAACTTTGCACATAAGACATTATAATAGGCAGATTCCATAAGCCCAGACCGCATCAAAAATAAAGGCAGAATCCATGCGAACCAGGAAGTAGGAACCTTGGAACGCATCGAGAATGCAAGAAAAATGCATGCAAACCAGGAATTGTCCACGTTGGAACGCATGAATCCTGAAATAGCGAGCCGCGTATATGACATCACCGGAGTCCCAATAGGATAATGAAGATGGCATTGCAGATTGGTTCTATGGCGAAGGGGGGTGGGTTCTAAATACCCGTTCTCCGCGTCAAAATGCAATTAAATATGTGAATGAAGCTTGTTTTTATGTATGCACCTGAGGAAGATGAAACCCATCGTCGAAACGCGTTGTGCTTTATCTTATGGAATCGCTGAAATTTAAATGTAAGATTTTATATTTTTTTGAATAAATGTTATTTTTTATATACTTCTAATTGGTGTTTGCCTACCCTGTGCCTCTTACATATCGAGGACCAAGCTTCATCTTATTGGAAGATACCGATGAACACCTTTCAAAAGTGATTCTACCTGAGCCAGTTTTTGTTATAAACAGGCTCTACCAAATGTGAGTTGGACAATATAGATCCTCAAACCTTAGCTTGTCACAGTATTATGCTATGAGTTCTTTCTCTTGTTTTTTTATGCATAGATTTATAATCTACTAAATTTGATCAAATTTGGGGTATTTATCCTATTTGTTATTGGTCAGTTCACCTACCCACTATGCATGCATTTTGAGAATATACTTGTGGGTACCTTACACATGCGCTGCACACTATTTGTGTTTTCTTGTATTCTTGTTTCTGTGGGTTTTGAGACATTGTACCCACTAGTGTGTCACAGCAGCAACTGTTGAGCGCCACAGATTGTACTTTTTCCATTTTTTTGTTTAATGATTTTAAATAACCTGAAATCCAAATAATAATAATTTACTTGGGTTTTTATTGTGACATTCAGCTTCTGCCCCCTTACATGTTTTATATACTTCCACTTAGTATGTGGTATTTTCAACTCACTTCATCACTGTTTTAATTTTATTTATGTATTGATATCTAAATAAAGATTGTATTTCATGTTCTAATTTTATCTTGGAGGCAATCTCTCTATTGGTGTCCTTTTTTCCCCCTCAAAATTCTTTATTTTTAATTTTGTTATAAATTAAAGGTCAGTACATACATTTTTAAGAAACATAGAGAGAAGCAAAACGGTTTGTAACAGTACAGGCTCTGCATGCGGGCATGCTCATGAACTGGCTTTGGACTATGAGAGCATAATGACTTCACCAAGATAGCATTAGGGGGTTTGTGTGTTGTGTGCCCCGTGTCTGACTCATATTTATGGTAGGATCATTTCATAAGACATGCTGGCAAGAATGTTTTGCGATCTGTTGGGTGGGTTTAACCTCTGCCTTGTCTCGGGTTGCCCCCTTCGAGAGTTCCTTATTGTTTCAGTCATGAGGATGTGGTCCCTAGTTGTCAGGGTCTATCTAAGAGTGGGTTTGTCTAGACCGCAGTTGAGTCACTCTTGGGTTGGGGGATTTAGTTGCCAATGCCTTGTCCGATCTGGGGACATGTCCGATCGTGCTATGGTGATGGTTCTTAGTTTGGCCTTAGATCTTTAGTCCTTAAATTCTGTGTGTCTTGCTAGATAGATAGAAATGTGTTGTGGGGGTTAGAATATGCATTGAGAAGGTTAGTGGGTCTTTACAGGTTATGAGAGTTATTGGTGTCCTTTTTGAAGTACATTGAGGTATATTTTGTGTGATAGAGTGATCTTTAACAGACCCTTACACTCCTTTTCCTATCAGCTTCGAGCTGCAGGAACTAAGGCAAGCTAAGAAATAAGGCAAGCCACCCTCCTGGACATAAAATGTAAGTTAACAGGTGGGTGGCTGCAAATATAAAAATTATAACTGTATTGTGTGTATGTAAGTCAGATTGTGTGTGTATCTGTGTCAGGCTGTGCATGTGTATCAGTGTGTGTGTATGTATGTGTATATATATATATATATATATATATATATATATATTTATGTATATATATATATATTTATGTATATATGTCAGTGTGTATGTCTGTGTCTGCATCTGTCTTTCAGGGTGTGCATGTATTTATGTGTGTATATAAATGTCAGTGTGTATGTCTGAAAGTGTGCATGTGTGTGTCAGGGTATGCATCTGTCTATGTGTGTGTGCACATCTGTATATGTATGTGTGCATCTGTGTGTTAGGGTATGCATCTCTGTGTATGTATATACTTCAGTGTGTGTCAGGGTGTGTACATGTGCGTCTTATAAAAGATATAAGGAAGCAAATAATGCATGCAAAAAGGCAATTAGACTTGCTAAACTTCAAAATGAAAAAATGATAGCTAAAGAGAGCAAAACCGACCCCAAAGCATTTTTTAAGTACATACATTCTAAAAAAACCAAAAATGAAAGTGTAGGTACACTAAAAACTGAAATAGGGGTGTTAGTTAATGAAGACCAGGAAAAGGCAGGAATTTTAAATAACTATTTCTCCTCTGTATATATTAAGGAAGAACCCATGGCAATAGATGTGCAAATGATTGCTACTAAAAACTTGCAGAATAATCGTAATTGGTTAACTCAAGACAAGGTGCGGCAGCAACTAAAGAAAGTTAATATAAACAAAGCTCCAGGGCGTGACGGTATCCATCCACGTGTACTTAAGGAACTAAGTGTAGAAATAAATGAACCTCTGTTTTTAATCTTTCAAGATTCTTTTATTTCAGGAAGTGTTCCGGAGGATTGGAGGAAGGCAGATGTGGTTCCTATATTCAAAAAGGGTTTAAGATTCTTGCCTGGAAATTATAGACCTGTGAGCTTAACTTCTGTGGCTGGGATAATATTTGAAAAGTTATTAAGGGATAATATTCAAGAATTCCTTGAGAAGAACATGGTTATCAGCAAAAATCAGCACGGTTTTATGAAGCACAGGTCATGTCAAACTAACCTGATTGCGTTCTCAAGGAAATCGGTCTAGATGAAAATGCTTGTTCTTGAGTAGAACATTGGCTTAAAAACAGAGTACAAGAGTTGTCATTAATGGTAAATTTTCAAGCTGGACAGAGGTGGCAAGTGGTGTCCCTCAGGGGTCTGTTATGGGACCCCTTCTATTTAACATGTTTATAAATGATCTTGAAGACAGCATTGAAAGTCATGTTTCAGTGTTTGCAGATGACACAAAACTCTGTAAAATAATACAATGTGAGCAAGATATTACTTTGCTGCAGAGGGATTTAGATAGACTGGGGGACTGGGCACTCAAATGGCAGATGAAATTTAATGTTGAAAAATGCAAAGTTATGCACTTCGGCGTAAAGAATACACAAGCAACGTATACCCTTAATGGAAGCGAATTAGGGATAACAACACATGAAAAGGACTTGGGAATTGTTATAGACAACAAACTATGCAACAATGTGCAATGTCAATCAGCAGTGGCCAAGGCCAGTAAGGTATTGTCATGCATGAAAAAGGGCATTCATTCTCGGGACAAGAATATAATTTTGCCTCTTTATAAATCACTGGTAAGACCCCATATTGAATATGCTGTACAATTTTGGGCACCTGTTCTAAAGAAGGATATTATGGCACTAGAAAAAGTGCAGAGGCGGGCTACAAAATTAATAAAAGGAATGGAACATATCAGCTATGAAGAAAGGTTAAGAAATTTAAACCTATTTAGTTTAGAAAAACGTCGCCTGATAGGGGATGTGATAACATTATACAAATATATTCGGGGCCAATACAAACCATTGTGTGGAAATCTATTCACAAACCGGACTTTACATAGGACACGAGGCCATGCGTTTAGACTGGAAGAAAGAAGATTTCGTCTAAGACAAAGGAAAGGTTTTTTTACTGTAAGAACAATCAGGATGTGGAATTCTCTGCCTGAAGAAGTGGTTTTATCAGAGTCCATACAGATGTTCAAAAAGCTACTAGATGCATACTTGCAAAAACAGAAAATTCAAGGATATAATCTTTCAATGTAGGGTAATAACTGCTTGATCCAAGGATAAATCTGACTGCCATTCTGGGGTCAAGAAGGAATGTTTTTCCTAGCTTGTAGCAAAATTGTGCTTCAAACTGTGTATTTTTGCCTTCTTTTGGATCAACAGCAAAAAACAAATGTGGGGGGGGCATGTCCTGCAGCCGACCTGAATGGACGCTCACTAAACCGGCTCCGAGCAAAACGGGCAGAGATCGCACAAAAAAGGAGGATAACACCCGAGATGGGGAACAACAAACACAACCAAACCCCTCACCAACCACAGGAGAAACCACCAGCGGGTAAACCGGGCTCGGTCACCCGTCTGTTTAAAGATTATGCCGACCGCGCGGCAGTCACTGGGGAATCCAACATGGCGCCGGCGGCAACTCACACAGACTCCGAACCACTAAGCCCTGCTCAGTCAGAAGCCTCATCAGCCTCTGCGGATGCTAGACACAAAAAACAACGCGAGACACAAGTCACACAACTGACCAAAGACATCAGAGAACTAGAGAAAGCCCATGCCCGAAACGACATGCTACCCCTATACAAAAGACTTTTACAGAAACGCACAGAACTCAACACCATTTTAAACATCCGCACAAAATACGCCATTGCAAAAACACTTAGCCTATACTATGCACAAGGGGGGAAAAGCGGGCGTTTACTGGCCAACGCCCTTAAAAAACAGAGAGAAAACACTTTCATACCATCCATAAAGGATAAAACAGGGAACACATCCCACCTAGTAACAGACATCGCCACAGCTTTTCAGGACTACTACCACTCCTTATACAACCTACGACAAACCCCCCCATCGACCCAGGACATCCAAAGCTTCCTAGCAAACAGGATACATACTACACTACCGAACAATTTGAGTGAAACACTAGAACACCCAATCACGATGGATGAATGCCGTAACACGATCAAACTCCTCCCGGTAGGGAAAAGTCCAGGCCCGGACGAGTTCACAATGAACTACTACAAAACATACGCCACCACCCTCATCCCACACTTTACAAACTCTTTTAACTCCCTGCTTCAAGGCACCTCACTCCCCCCTCAACCACTAAACGCTACAATCACACTTATCCCGAAACCAGGCAAAGACTTATCCCAGTGCGGTAGTTATAGACCGATCTCCTTAATAAACGTAGATCTCAAACTCTTTACAAAAATCCTGGCCAACAGGCTCTGCCCCCTACTGCCGGGGATTATACATGCAGACCAAGCAGGCTTCGTGCCCGGTAGGGAAGCGAAAAATAACACCACGAAAATTATAAACTTAGTGCACCAAGCCACACGCATGGAAGAGTCCAGTCTACTCTTATCCATTGATGCGGAAAAAGCGTTTGATAGAGTGGACTGGACTCTAATGCTATACACGCTCCAATACCTAGGCTTTGGACCTAACTGGCTAAAATGGATTAAAGCAATTTATTCAAACCCCACAGCCAACATTATGGTAAATGGACAGCTTTCAGATAGTGTGCCAATCACAAATGACACTAGGCAGGGGTGCCCCCTCTCCCCCCTCCTCTTTGTGATTGTCCTGGAACCATTCCTCCAAGGCATACGAGACAACATCAACATTAGAGGCATACATATGGGACAACAAAACCATAAAATAGCAGCATTTGCAGATGATATGCTTTTTTCAATCACACGCCCGCTGGACTCACTCCCACACCTGATGGAAGAAATGAACACATACAGTAATATATCCAACTTTAAGGCAAATCTCACAAAATGTGAAATCCTCCCAATAAACGTGCAGGCAAGCATCGCAACAACATTGAAACAGGAATATCAATTTGCATGGGCCCCCATAGCATTAAATATCTTGGGATACACATCACTAGGGATACAACACGCCTTTTCGAAAGCAACTTCCCTAACCTACAAAAACCAATCCAATCAGATCTTACAGCCTGGAATAAACCACAATTTGGATGGTTCTGCAGGCTAAACATCCTAAAAATGAATATCTTACCCAGGATCTTATATATGCTTCAGGTACTTCCCATAACAATACCGAAGGCATGGTTCAGCACAATAAGCAAACTATTCACACACTACATCTGGTCCCACAAAAGCCCGCTATTAGCACATACACTACTCACACGTCCGAAAGATGAGGTGGGCCTAGGCCTATCAGATATTATAAAGCGGTCCACCTGACCAGACTTTATGACTGGTCATGCACAAACGCTGTAAAACAATGGGTAACCATTGAAGACACTTTTTTCCAAGCACCCATATACACAATACCATGGCACAAAACAGGACAACCACTACTGATAAAGGGCCCGCATCCCACGATCACACCCACTCTACGCATTTGGGAGACCCTCAAGCCCAACGACCAAATATCACCTCATCCGTCCCCACTCTACCCGATCTCACATAACCCTCTCTTCCAACCAGGGGTAGATGGCAAGGCTCTAAAACACCTTCACACGAGGACATACCTTACGCTGAAAGACATACTAGTTGAATCTGGGGAACAACAGATCAAACCAATACATGACCTTATCGAATCCCCAACGGCAATACAAAAATTCCAATACAATCAACTAAAGCACTTTATACACTCAGGACCACAAACACTGGGACAGAGCCGGCCACACACGGCATTCGAACTCCACTGCTCCAAACAGGATCTCAAAAAGAAACACATCTCACTAATGTACAATACTATCCAAGCAACAACCACCCACAACCTACCAACGTTCACCACCACCTGGGAAAGGGAACTACAGATAGAGATACCCAAAAATAAATGGAAACAGATTTTCAGACAAATACACAAAACCTCGAGAAATACGATAGCACAGGAAAGCAACTATAAACGGATAACCAGGTGGCACTACACACCGTCGAAACTCCATCGTCTCTTCCCCACAACAGTAGACAGATGCTGGAGATGTCAGCAAACCGAAAGCACGACCACACACATTTGGTGGACCTGTCCCGAGATCCGCAAATACTGGACACGCATTTCAGGGGCACTATACAAGATCCTCAGGAGGCACATCCCATTACACCCAGATACATACCTCTTTCTCCTTCCACCCCCAGAAATGCATAAACACGAGAGAACACTTTTGATACATCTCATCACAGCAGCCAATCAACTCATCCCGGCCCTTTGGAACAGCCACATGCACCCACTACACGGGAATGGTTAGAAAAGGTAGAAACTATCAGAAACCTAGAAGAGACATGCTACTCACTAACACATCAGTACCAAGAATACACACAAATATGGGACCCTTGGGTCCAGTTCCTACGAAATAATTCTATCTGATAACTGAAACACGTAGTCCAGGCCATTCACAGACCATACCACACATCGGCTTGGACATGGTCCATACAGAACACTGATATATACAATATACAATCGAAAATATTCAATACCCTGTCATGTTGGCTGAATGAAACACTCTGTCTAAGAAATGCTGTTGTATCTCAGACAAAACTGCAATAAAAAAAAAAAAAAAAAAAAAGTTTATTAAAAGCTGCTGTCGTCATTCGACTCCTCAAGAGAAAAAAAATGGATTATTAGGAAACAGAAATGTAAAAATTATTTTAATACCTTTGGGCTTTCTGTAATACTTATAAAACAGATGTTACAATAGATAATTTTATTAATAAGACATTCAACCACCAAAAAAAACAAAAACAAATGTGAGGAAGGCTGAACTTGATGGACGCAAGTCTCTTTTCAGCTATGTAACTATTTAACTATGTAACTATGTTTGTATCAGGGTGCGTCCATCTGTGTATGATTGTATATGTCAATGTATATCTGTGTGTCAGGGTGTGTGCATGTGTAAAGGTGTGTGCATGTGTCAATGTGTATATGAATTTGTGTGTATGTGTCCGTGTGTTTATCTATGTGTTAGTGTGTCTGTATATCTGTGTAAGTATGTATGTATGTGGCAGTGTATTTGTTTATGTGCGTACATCCAAATAATCAATCACCAACACAACATGCAAGCAATGTCGTGCAATCTAATACAAATATTACATACAAAAACACCACTGCATTCAAACTCCAAAATTATGTACAATCACACTTCTTCACTCAAACCAGTACTACACACAAATGTACATACATATTTTTAAGTGAACATTACATACAAACACACCCCTGCAATCAAACGCAAGCATTACATACAAACACACCCCTGTATTAAAACACTAAAATAATATACAAGCGTCTCTTCAATCAAATACCAACACCACTCAGAAAAGCACACCTGCATTTAAAAGCTAACACTACATACAAACACACCCCTGCAGTTAAACGTAAACACTACATACAAGTACACCTCTTCATTCCAATTGCAACAGTACATACAAATACACCACTACATGCACACATAGTGTATACAAAAACATGCTTACATTAAAAATGCACAAACACTGCACACAATTACAACTGCAAGGATAGGCAAATGGTAGTTTGAGTTGTACACCAGATGGGGATCTACTTTTTGGCCACTCTTGCACTAGAGGAGGGCCCTCTCTACATTAGTTCCATCACTGATGGGGTGTTTGTCATATAATATTATTGTATAACACACAATAATAAAAACAGGATTGAAAAGGTATGATGTTTGACCAAGGTGCTTTTCATTTAGTCACTGACCTTGGCTTTATTAGTAAGCCAGTAAACATTAAATAAAATAAATTTCCTCTACATACAAAATCACATATAATCAGTTGTACAATAGACTTAAATATGGCCCTGGTGGCAAATACTTTCTTTATGCTCAAACAGAATGGAGTGTACTTATAGGCAATCACTTAATTCACATAAATTCAATGGCTAATGTCAAAACAATGGCAAAACATTAGTTGGACAAAATGTTTTTTGTTTTTTTTTAACACCCTTTTCTTTGGACTAAAACAATAGAAGAATACAATATAATTACAAAATATCTGTCTCAAAATGTATTGTGTTGAATAGAATTAGACCAACGATATTTAAAGAAAAACATACCAAATTTCTAATCCGTACAGCTTAAAACATAGATTTTAAGTACCACTGAAATGGTCATTAAAGTGTTAGTTCACCTGTTAATGCCATTGCAAATCTGTCAGTTGTGTCCTGTCCTTAATAGTTTACATATGGGGTTAGGTAAGTGCTGCATAAATGGCGGAATGCCAAAATAAAGTGATACCCAATAATGTGCTCTAATCAATGTAGCGCTTTACTCACATAAGCAAATATATATTTTGAGTAATGTCAGAATGAGGTATCCAATATATAATAAAGAAAAACAAAAAGAGAGGAATATAGAGTAATATTGTTTTTAAAAATTAATAAATAATAATGAGGACAATAACGCACAAACATAGAGCAGTAAAGTGTGCTCAAACTATAGAAGCTCCATTAGCTGTGCATATGCAGACTTAAGGCTGTGGTGTATATAAATAATCTTTATTGTAACACACTGGTAAAATAGCAGGCAAACGGGAATACTACAGAAGCCAGTGATGATCGTGTTTCTTCTGGGAGGCAAGGCTTACCTTTGGCGTGCGTAATTTTGTACGAGTGTGATGACGCATTTCGCTGATGTCAAATGCTTCTTCATATCCACCCTCTATGCATCCGCAGCCTCAATCTAAGTCCACTGTATTA